AAAGTTAGTTCATTCATGGTTTTTATTGTCGTTAATTGATGCCCATGGCAGTCTAGTCTGAGCTTAAATTAATTCTAAAATGTTATATTAGCATTAAGGTAGGGAGTTTAAATTACTAATTTTACAAAGGCAACGTTCATTGCTCGAGGCTCTCCATAAAAGATGTCAGGGCTTGAGGGTTAAAGTTGACGGTGACAAGAAAAGGGGTAATAAAAGCTTGTGCGACATCCAGTTTAGAACTTTTTCAATTACTGTTATGCATTAATAAAAGTTTTGTTAACATGTTTTGTCAAAAAGTTTATAAAATTTTTTTTATTACCCATCAAAGAAATTTGCTTCTGTGGTGCATTACTTTTTGCTCCTCATTTTATTCACGAAAATATATAATTGTTTCATATTGTTATTTGTAATATTGATAAAAATTAGTTTCAACATTTTAAGTTGTCAACAACTTAGTTTTTATTAACTTTTTCGAAATGATACCAATGTTTTAATATTTTTAAATATTATTAAAATTGGAATTTTTTGATTTTTCAAATCTTTAATTATCATTTGCACCATAAAATTAAGAATAACGTTTTGAAAATTATCTTCATTTGTAATCTCGAAAAGTAAATTAATTTGCATAACCAAATTTTTTATCCTGAACCAGGCTTAAAGACAGTTTTGAATAAAGACCAGTCGCAAAATATCCCTTGATTGAAGACGACAGTAAAGTTCAACTAATCGTGAAAAGTATTCACCCAAATGATACGAGATTGTAAGTCTTAGAGGAAAATTCCTTCTAGTCATCGTGCTAAGTGGGTTTGGTAAGGTTAGGGTGGCTTAGCTCAATACTGTTCCAACTCAAATCTCTGGCAAAACTCGACTTTTATCATAGCTTTATCTAAGCCTATTAATATTTCTGCTAATTCTGTTTATTTTTTCATCACTTTCTTTTTAAATTTTTTCGTTACTCTTTTGATTACTGAAATAAATTTTTTAATTCTATGTTCAATTTTGGCATTTCTTTTTGGACCAAATTTGGGTTTTGAGCCGGATTTTTGTCACCTAAGTTAAAATTCAATCTTCGTTTAGCGTCCAGAGACCCAGTTCCCCGAGGTAGAACGTTAGGTGTATATATATATTTATGTATATATTTATTATTTATGTTTGCATCTGTATTTTCTCCACCAACTGACTCGTCTCTTTCTGTCTAAAAGATGTTGATCTTCGATCTCTTACTGAAAATACTAAATAACATCATCATCTTGAAATATGTGTTCTGTTCTATTTGAACTTTTTCATAAAAAACTTCATCTTTTTCTGCATTTAGACAGTGTAAAATATGTAGAAGACTATCACTTTCATTTTATTTCTCTAAACTTGTTTCTGAATTTTTTTTTCTGTATACTCTTAATACATTATTTGAAGCTACTATGATTATTATTTTTGTGTCATCAACAACTAATTCCCTAGGTCTACCTTCTTCTAATTAACTTAACGGATTTTCTTCAATATTTTATCCTAATGTTCTCAAACTTTTTAATTTATCTCTTTCTTTCTCTAAATTTGCTACTTTTATAAGAAATCTATCGTTATACCTATCCTGAAAAACTAATTTTTAAATCCTGCTTTCCTCTTATCTATCTATAGAATAGTTTTATCAGCTGCTCAATATTTTAATTGATGATTACTTGTGTATGTGTATTCTCTCTCTCTCTCTCTCTCTCTCTCTCTCTCTCTCTCTATATATATATATATATATATATATATATATATATATATATATATATACTAATAGGTCACTTATGTAGCACCAATTAAATGTTCTCAAAGGCGCTATCGTAAACAGAAGTCTACAATACTATTAATAAGAAGAAAACTTAAGTAAAATTATCAAAGTTTAACGGTGAATAAATATGTTTTTAGTTCTTTTTTAAATGTTCTAAGAGACAGTCCAGACGATCGCAATGACTGTGGCAAGCTGTTCCACACAGTCAGACCTGCAACAGAGATACTCTGTGCACCAATCTGCAAGTGTGAAGCCGATATTGTCAACAAGTTCATATCATCTGACCGTAGTGAGACGACGCAGACATTTTTTTTAAAATTTATTTACGATATATTCCGGTGACATCCCATTCAGTGATTTAAACACAAGTACAGCGATTTTGAAGGTTACTCTTTTGTGTATAATTAAATATTATAATTAAATAAATATTATTCTCTTTCTTTATGTATATATATATTTATATAAATTCAATGAATTGTAATAATGCATACAGTAGTTTAGCATTTATAGCGTTGCTTAATTTTCTATTTAATTTTTCAATCTTTCTTATGATGATCGTGGGTATACTGTTGTCCTAACTTAATTGCTTACATCTTTTCAAATTTCAATTAAATCAATCATTTCAACCAAGTCAATCATCGTTTCAATCTAATCAATTTTGTTACGATCGTAAATTTCACAAACTCCAAAATTAATTGTATCTCGAACCGTTTATAGGGTCTATATATTTAGCGTTTCTAACAAACTTCAAATTGCATTACTTAATTTTTATGCCATTGAGATGTGAAAACACTTGTCAATCCAACAATTCAATCATTTCCTCATTCACAATCATTCATTTCACTTGTATATTATTCAATCCAAGAACTTCTAACTAAACAAATTCTAAAGAATGTTTATGTCTCCGGTGGTGCACCCGTTTAACCATTGAAAAACCTATTAATTTAATTTAATAATTTCAACGGAAGGATTGTATCTGATTGACAGTGCTCAAGTTTAAAATTTGCACTACAATTTTTAACATGGTCAACAATGTTTCACGATTTAATTGTACGTCGTTAACGAAAATGTTAGCTATCTTCAGAAACCATTCCGAACGTTTACGTAGCATTTACTTTGTGTCTTCATGTTTGTTTTTGTCCGTGTTCAAATGGCTACGATGACAATTGTTATAACGAAATAGATTTATAATTTTGACATGAAAACTACTTGACTTAAAGGTTTTTTACCAAGCAATTTATTTGAAATATGCAAGTATAGATGCGTAAGGTGAGGCCTCTGTTCAACGTTAAACAATTCATGTCAAGCTATAAATGAAAACTTAACAAAACGTACCGGAGCAACCCAGCGACATTCTTAACAAGCCGTATCAATTACAATCTAAACGTCTAGCGTATAAATTAAAAAAATGAGACTGACGAGCGCATCACTGTTTTATGGTCTCATTCTAGAATGTTCGTTCGTCAAAATGGCAGCTGATGCTAACTAAAATTAATTCTATCGAATGTAAAGACGCAAAAATGCGTAAAAGAAAGTGATAGAGTTTAAGAAACCAAATTTAAAAGTTTGCCGAACGTTTTAAAAACAGAAACTTGATCGTCATTTCTTGACTGTCCATTTGATTAATCTATGCATGTACTTGAAAAGTAAGTTAGTTTAAT